AACTGGTGGACTAATGTTTGTTAGGTGGTTTCTACGGACCTAACACAGCCACAAGATACTGCATGACAGTGACAGATGTCGGAGGAAGTTTCCTCAATTTCACCGAAAACCGAGCAACTGAACCTGAACATTATGAGTGATTTATGCACAATAGTACAAGTACTGTACTGTGGAGAAGGAATGTTTATATACATTCACTCTCTTCTTTCTTACAGAATGATGAAAAATTATACTGTAGAATATCTTTCGGGAGTGTTCTGCTTTGTTCAGACCAGGGATGGTAAAGTTGTTTCAGTCCACGCACCGAGGATGCCAAAGTCACCAACTTCAAGAAAGGGATTGCTTCAGCTTTTCAAACGAATTTCAAAGGAACTGTTGAAGAGATTGAGACTGATCCTCAATCACGACATAGCTCCCATTACAGGCAGGAGCTTATTGCTCTCATAATGGTGTTGAATAACAATATGCACTCTATTGTACAGTTATTCAGCTGGTCAAGGAGGGAAAAGCAAGATTCACCGTACAGTCACGAGCGAAGATGTCTTGGAATATTCAAGTGGTGTTCACACGAAAGATGTTCAGTTGCGGGAAGAAGACGACATTGAATACAGGGATGGTAGATTGTTCAGGTCCAGTGGAACCATGTACCTGTCAGTAGACAAAGAAACACACAGCAGTGGCCAAGGATCGGGAGGAATGGATGAATTTGCTGATGTTGTTACAGTTCGTGGATCGTTTGATATGGAACTAAATGAGTGTAAAACTGTTCGGCCGACTAGAAGGAGGAGAGCAGTCCAGCAACATCTTGATGGAGGATTTTCATTGGAAGAGGGTCTTATGGCCACATATGATGAGAGTAAGTGCATTCATCACACTGGACCAGCTACACGTCACTTGTAATGTACTTCTTTTGCAGGAAAAGTTGAGATTGACACACTGGAGAATCTTCGCCAGCATTTTAAAACTTCCAAACAAGTCATTACGGCTCTACGAAACGCTAACAGCAGCAAAACCTGTACGTTTCATTGACACAATAATTGTGTTTCTAGGGATGTTTGGTGCCATCCTAGAAATGAGAATGTGTGGCCGTGGCAGATTAACCTAAGTATAATAATTATTCACTTAATATTTTTGCCAGCTATATACGTTCAGTATTGCATGGTCCATATCCATAGCAGACAGGCCACATTTTTACCTACAGCTACACATACAAACATGCACATTAATGGTGCTGAGGGTTTGTACTTAGGAAATGCGTACCTGCTGTGTCATCTGATGTCTGGTAGGCTAGGGTGAATGGTCTTAGAGATGGACAGGGCCTTCCTCCTTAGTAGTGGTATGCATACTCTCGTACCATACTTGTAACCCCTTTTCAGTCAGCATGTTGGAGAAAGTAATGGTCCTTGAGCGGAAATATAGACCTGAAGGGGTGTCTGTGACGCACACTGTGTTAAACTATCTGAGGAAGGTAACGTTGTATATGTACATAGCTAGATAGAATTACTACACTGTTCTATTAGATAAAGACATTGGAACCAGAGGAGTATGTGGCACAGCGAGTGAATATCTATTCTCTACTCAGTTCAGAAGGAAGCAGAAGGGCAGAAACTGTAAGTAGCTAGCTATCAGAGTGTATACACTCTTATGATCCATGGACAACAATAAACACGCTGAGCATAGCATCACTTTATGGGTAACAGTTTCTATTATTATTTTCTCCTACTCATTCAGAGCCTGTTTTATGGGGACATTATACGTATTCATTGTCCTACAGGCATTGATTGAGCAACTTCGTGAGACAGATCTGTCTGATGCAGAAAGGAGGGTAGTCATGCTAGCTATTGCTTTACTACCAACACCCAGTTCTCAAGTGATCCAAACAATAGAAGACATGATTACTGAAACAACGTCATCGTTGCTACTGGTGTATGGGTCACTGGTGGCTAATGCTGCTCCTGACCAGGAAATGAAGATGGTGACATTTCTCACCGATCGACTTACCGAAAACAACACTGATACCCTCATTCATGTTTTGCACGCGCTTGGAAACACGAAATCATCGCTGGCAATTGAGCACATAATACCCTATGTCCATTACGACGACAAAGATGTTAGACTGACTGCTGTGAGCGCACTGAGGTTTTTTACCGGACTGCCAATTGTTCAGCAACAGTTTGTCAGCATTCTTCACGAGGAGAGTTCAGGTTCTTTGGTGGAAGCAATCATCCAAGCTCTACGTAATGGATATGACTACGACAAAGACATGGAGTTGGACTCGGACCTTGTTCGGTGTTTAGTTCAGGTTACTAATAATCTCAGGAACAACGATCTTCAAAACGAACTAAATCGTCTTTTTAAAAAGATGGGTGTACCAACTTCAAGTTCAGCAGATTTAATGGATGATAGAAACATGAATCGCCAAAGGCGAGACACAGAAATATGGGATTCGACTGCTTCGGAGTACAACATAATTGCTTCAGCATCTCAGAGAGCTAATGATGTCGCTAATTATCCATATCACCGAGGCTATCTGTGGAGCACGACCGCAGGACAGAATAGTGGAGAATACCCAATCTACCTTCAGGCAGCAGCTGGGCTTTTTGCCGGTGCTAACATTGACCAGTGTGACTTAAAGATGTTTGGAAAGGCTGTCGTCGATGCTCATGTACTAGGCCATGAAGGCAATATCCTGACGATTGAGGGAAGGAATGATAGAATATACGTCTTGTTTGCTGGAGATATTGTGTTTGACATCAACCCACCTGACTCCTACAGCGACCAACTCTCAGGCTACCAGAGACTACTGTATTCAACCTCCTATACATTCTATGTGTATAGTGTACCCATTACTCTTGGGTTGGATGTGCACGTTAGCGTTGGAACCTATATAGACATTTCTGTTCAACAAGGTGTGAGCAACGACATTGAAGCAAGTGCAGCAATAGTACCATCTATTTCAGCAAGTTTTGATGGCAGTCTAACTGTCTCAGCTCTGGTATGTTCCAGTGACATTAATTTTGCACACATTATTGCAATCTCTACTCTCTGTTTTTAGATTGCTCAGGTTGGAGTGAGTGTAACGGCCTCCATTCCTTATAGTATCACGTTGCGTGCTACTTTTCATGTGTGTACTCCTACAGATTCAGGTGTAAACAACTCTGCATGTGTGGACGCTAGTCATGGGTGGCAAGATATCGATATAACATTTGCTGCCTTTTATCAACTATTTGACATTTTTTCTGTGAGTTTAATGAGTCACTTCTACATTATACTGACATTCATAATATTTCTTTGTAGTTTGGATATGGAAACAGAATCACATGGGATCTTCTCACTTTTACTTACACCATCCCTGCACCGCAGAAGAGCACAATTTATTCCGACTGTGTTGTTGCTAGTCAAGCTACAAGTGCACCACCTACAAGTGTAGTCACAAGTGCAGCTGCAGCCTCAAGTGCTGTAGCCACTCTCATGCTCCTTTTCTTGTTTCTTTCCTGCTCATATTTCCTTTATTGGTTTACTAGGCTGAGTTGCAAGTGACAAAATGAGTTGACACAATAGTAGTATAGTAGTATTAGTGGTTAGCAATAAACTTCACACATTATAAATCTCTACTCTCTGTTTTTAGATTGCTCAGGTTGGAGTGAGTGTAACGGCCTCCATTCCTATAGTATCACGTGTCTGCGTGCTACTTTTCAGTGTGTACTCTACAGATTCAGTGGTAAACAACTCTGCATGTGTGGACGCTGTCATGGGTGGCAAGAATCGATTTATAACATTGCTGCCTTTTATCAACGTATTTGACATTTTTATCTGTGCGTTAATGTGAGTGTCACTGTCTACATATACTGACATTCATAGAATATTTCTTTGTAGTTTGGATATGGAACAGGAATCACATGGGATCTCTCATCTTTGTACTTATTCACCATCCCTGCACCGCAGAAGAGCACCATTTATTCCGACTGTGTTGTTGTAGTCAAGACTACAATGGGCTACCACCGACAAGTGTAGTCTACAAGTGCAGCTGCCAGCCTCAAGGGCTGTAGCACCTCCTGCTCCTTTTCTTGTTTCTTTTCATGCTCATATTCCTGTGTTATTGGTTACTGTAGAGCTGAGTTGCAAGTGAGCAAAATGAGTGACACATAGTAGTCTAGTAGTCATTAGTGGTTGCCATAGAAAACTGCTATTTTATCTGACAATGACACCATGAGCACTGCGATAGCACAGTGGTGTTTGAAAGATGCTGCTGCTGAGATAGTATTTCACTATCCAGCAGAAATTGTAAGTATGTAGCTATCCTATTGAAGATGGTGTGGAGGTGGAAAGTGGTAGCTATCACTCATAGGCTGCCTAGTGCCAGAATAGCTGCCACACACACGCACACACACACACACACACTCACACATACATACAGACAAGACCCCTCACTGCACATGCGTGCCAAGGTTTACCGAGAGTTAATCATGGCTGCTTGGTTTGCATTGTTGAGATAACTCTAACTCTGGTAAAGCGGCATGACACGGGCCACAACATTTGGGATTAGCAAAAGACACTTTTAAATGGTATGCCGTAAGGTTACACCTTCATACAGACAGAATAAAAGCAAGATGGCTCCAGGTTTCACGGTGTTGTAAAGCAAGTCACAGACACCAGGTCAACTAACAATATTTCACCTTTCATATTGTTGCTAGGGTACACAATGCACGTGACAGTGCCGCCCAAACTAATCGGCCCCAACTCATTATCTTGGACCCATCCACTGAGTGAGCAGTCAGCAAAGATGACGTTTAACTTTTGTATGCTAACGCCTGTTAGCAGTCACAGAGGGAAGGCTGACAGAGAGATGGACATTGAGAGGCTCTTTGTGTCGCAGAGTAGCAGGACTGCTTGCGCCGCAGCGACTTCGCTAGTTGAGATCCGTAGTTGAATATGATAGTTAGTACAGGTGACTGACACTGACAAAGTGGTGAAATGGTGCGGCTCTTATATACTGTAACAGAATGTTCTAGAATGATGTGCACATGTTAGCAAAGGCACATGGTAGCATGTGGACAGTTAGACTGTTCTAGAACTCCTTAGTAAGGTGTGATGCAGTGATATCATGTTAACACTATTTGTCCAGGAAGCTACTTGTAGTTGTAAGAAAGTTCTAGAAGCTTCCAGTAATATAGTCTGACAAGTGTCATTCTCCAACACTTTGTACATGCATGAATCAGGGGGTGTAAACACAAGAACTACACTAGACAACAGCACCGCCCAAGGTACCCCCCACACCAAGAAGTCCAGCCACAACACCAACAGCTATCAGTGGGACTCAGACGGGAGTGAGGAACCCGGTTGCACTCATCACTCCACCAGCCACTGCAGCTCCTGCACCAGCAACTACAGCCACCCCGCCACTATTGTGCAAACCGATGCCTCGACAAGCTTGAGAAAGTGCTGGTTTCTCCAGGCAAACTTGAGTAGCACACCTTTGCCTTCTGATTGACAGGCATCCAGACAGCCCTTCCAGAATCCAGTCTGCCAGTTTTTCCCAGAAGGACGGATCAACTTTCTTGCAGATCCCACTATGATTAGGATAACCAATCAAAAAACTTCTCAAGTCCAGCTCTTTTGAAACATGCACACATTGACCTTTTCTTTGCATCTAACACACTAGTGAAATGCTCGGCTTCGTCTGCCCTGGGACTGGTTGGGTCCACTTGATTTGCAAATGTCAGAAGCAATGATGACGTTCTTCCAAATGGCCTCCCCAAACGCTGTGGTGATATTCGAGAGTGCTACTTCTTCGTCTGGCCTTATTGGGTCCCCCATTTTTGTGCAGTAAATGATAAGATGAACTTTGGGACACTTCTCTTGCATTTTACGAAGGTAGTTCCTGTCGTGATCTCTCCCACCTTGCAGCCCGGGTGAATCGAAGATGTTGATTTTTGTATACCATCATCTCTTATTATGAAAGTGTGGGCTTTACATCATCTGTACATCGTGTCATTTGGGAGCCTTCTTCTGCGCGTTGTTTGTAATCTTCCCCTTCTTTGAAGAACATCGCGTCGATCAACCAACATGAAAACACACCATAACCAAGACATTCAGTTCCGTGCTGCACTACTGAAGCTTTTCACAGACTGCATCCTCAAGTGGAAACTGTTCTTACTTCTTTATCATCCTCTATTACCTCCAGTCAACTATACTTAAAACTCAGTATGGCGTATGCAGTCCGCAAAGATCCATATTGTGCAGTCACCTGCGGTTTGTACCTTCCTGAAGTGTGTGTTGGCGGCGATGAAGCAATGAACTATTTCGTTATAGAATGTCGAACAATTGAACCAGATTGGTCATGAGAAGAAATGGGACTCGGTTACTATGCTGGAAGGTTTGGGTGATCATGTTGAACTTTATGCTGTCTATCATGTTCTTGCCTATGTAAAGTTTGTTCAAGTGTTTCAGAGGCTCTGGCAGTTTCTTTACGCAGTCTATTCTGTTCTTGCCTATGCAAAATCTGTTCTGGTGTTTCAGAGGCTCTGGTGGTTTTTTATGCCATCTATCCCGTTCTTGCCTATGTAAAGTTTCATCATTTGTTTCAGCTCCCATCATGCTCTCTTTACGTAGTTTGGCTCTTTTCTCACCAATCTGTCTTGTTCAGATTCTAACGTTCTTATACGTTTCATCCTGTCCTTTTTGGGAGTACACTGTGCTCTTCTTTTTGACGGAAAGGCGTGGCCACATCCGCAAACCGCTCGCCTAACATGAACTGTTGTATCACACTGTGGACATACCTTCCTCAGGCGTCTATCGCTCTCCATTGCTCTCTAAGGTAGATGATACCGGGAAAGAGAAGTAATTAGGCATTCTACAACCTTGGGCTGGAGTTTTGCAACTCTCCATTCTCCACCTGGCTTCATTAGCTTAGCTAAACAAAGTGCATTGTGCGCTATCTAGTTCACAATAATTATACACAGTATACGGGTATGAACCGGGACCCACTGTATTGAAGTCGCTGGCAGTGTGGGCTCGAAATTTCTCACGTTCAGCATCTTCTACAGAGACTCCTGACTCCATTCCCAACTATCGACGCCATGATTCACTGGGCGGTGCCAGCTCCTGGCCCCGCGCGCGGGCGACGCTACGTACGTACGCATCTACAGACACGCATGCGCATGCACGCTGATAACGTCATTCCTGGCCTGAGGGTTTGAAGGTTAACCGGTCAATCCAAGATTAGTTCACTTTCGTCGCTTGATAAACAATGGTAGCCGTAGAAATTCGTCGCTACGAATGAAGAATCATCGCCCCGAAAAGCGATTCGTCGCCACATGACGAGAGTTGACTTTCCCACCTGATAGCATCCCAGAATTACGACATTGAGTTCCTGACTCCCGTCGGGTTTTTATCGAGTAGCGTCCTCCAGTGGTAAATCGCGAATACTTATTGTGCGCGCTCTTCTTAACCCAGACAATTCCAGACTTTCTGTCGCTTCTGCCATCTTAGGGCTGAGCTCTGCTGTTGTGCTGACGAAATTATATCCCATAATGAACCACCTTTTTTGGCCGTTTTCCTATAAGTAGAGGGTACTATGGAGAACAGGGAAATTTATCCTACCCTACTATTTTAACAAGTGATGTCATTCATTGTAACGTGAGAGTGAGAAGTGCCCGTGAGTGATTGTTCTTGTGATAGGAAAGCTTATATCTTCACCCGCATTTGTATGTATGTGAGATTTTGTGCACACCATAATTCCTACACAGACGCTCCGATGGTGTAGGATCCCTGTCATAGAACCATGAACAGATGGTACCACTTATGTCATACTAGCGATGTTCCTTCAATGAATTTTCGTATGATGTGTGTGTGTGTGTCCTGCACACTTTTGTCCGTGCTTAGAGGAAGAATGAACGAATAGACCAA